ATCCATCCCCAAGGAAAATGGAGATCGGAGAGCCTGACTGCTGCTGTCTGACAACACAAAGGAGTTCGTACACAGTTATTAGGACAGGAATGAGAAGAAAGGAGAAACCAGAAGCAAAACAATGAGAAAATAATCCTCTGTCTTGCTTTTGGATCACAGCCCAAGACAGGGCAGGATCCGGGCAACAGCAGAAGAGGCTACACTGACAGCCAGGTGAAAAGGCTGAGATGTCAGCACCTTCCCAGCACACAGAGTGAGCCAGGAAGAAGTGGGGGCACAGGGAAGGGGCTGAGGCAGGGAAGGTGTCGTGTCAGAAGGGAGAACTACAAAGATGGGCACATCAGAGGAGGAAACAGTCAGCCCAGGGCTGTGCTTGACAAAATGTGGCAGACAGGTAGAACTTAAGGCTGAGTGAACAAAAGCTGGGAAGAAACAGTGGAAGAATGAGAAAAGAGGGGAAGAGCTGCTCAGGATGGAGCTAGGGATGGTGTGGGAATGAAGCAGAGAGAAGAAAAGGCGAGGTGACAACATTCACAGCTTGAAAGGAGCTCAAGGAGCAAAGGGAAAGCTTGAAGGATGACAGATGTGTGCATCATGCTGCCCAAGGCTTCTGACAAACTGGGGCTTGAGCAAGCAGCAATGCTAGAGAATGAGGGCACCACAGTGCTGGGAAATGCCTTTCTTTGCTTGGGTCAGCATGCAGAGCACTCTCAGAACCTCATCTGTTACTGGAAAAGGTGTTTGTATGGCTAGGATCGATCTCAGCTGGATTCTAGAGTTTTCAAACTCACATGCCTAAAGGGGGCTAGGATCGATCTCAGTTGGATTCTAGAGAGTTTTCAAACTCACATGCCTAAAGGTGAGCGACAGCCATCACATTTGAGATGTACATGGAAGCCTTGAAACTGAATTCCCACCCACAGGCCTCTTCTATAAGGTCACTGACAGGGATATAAACAGGAAAAGTTTCCCAAGTTCATCTGTTCAGGAAGACTCCTGTGGTACCAGTCACAGCCTCACAGCTGCAGAATGAGGCTCTGTGGCCTAGCCTAGGGCACATCAGCTTTCCCCAAGTGCAAACACACATAACTAAAATAATGGTGTGCAGAACCCTCAGCCACACCAAGGGGCAGGTTCTCCAGACACCTTTCTGCTGAAGGCCAAGTGGAAGAGCATGGCTGTACCTCTCCAAACTGTCCTTCTCCCAACTTCTCCTTGAGCCGCAGCTGCTGCCGTGGGAATTCACCCACGGAGATGTCCTTCTTGGTAAGGGAGTCCACAGTGAGGGCTGGCACTGCATACATGTTGTTGCCAGTCACACCTTGCAGGTGGACGATGTCTGTCTCGGCGTAGTGAGGGACATTGTTCTGAAAGCCTTGGTGAGGGGTGGACTTGGTCAGGTCGGGCTCAGCATAGTCCCCACTGCACACTGAGGGGAAACCAAAGACAGGGGGTCAGACTCCCTTAGAAGTACTATGGCCTGGCTTCTACTCCTCTGCATCCCACAGAGCTCTGGGAATTCTGTTTAGCTGCACATCTGCCACCTTGTACAGAGGGACACACCTCTTGGTTTTAGCCAGGGCTTCAGCCACAAGCAGCCATGCTCCTCCAGACACCAGAATATCTGTGAGCTGCCAGCAAATTCCTGTCCAACTGCAGCTTTCTCCAGCCAGTCATGAGAGCTAAACTTCTTGTCCAGACATGGAGGCATGAGTCTGAAGTGATTTTCTGCTTCTGATTCATCCTACATACAATCTATTCCCCTTACCTGCTATAGGATGCTGCTTGCAACATCAAACTTGCTCTGGATTCCCTTCTGCAACAAGACCTGATTGAGGCTTCCACTTCCCATGCCCTCTGTTAGCAAACTCCACTCCCTCTTAGAGTGTATTCACACAAACACCATGGGACAGCTTTAGAATTAACTCCCCATTAATGGAGTTAACAGTCAGTATTCCACAGAACATTTGTTCTGCTTCAAATTCACACCCTGACTCAATCTAATCAGTCTTCCTGTGTAGTATAACTGGATCTTAGCAGCTTGTCAGTGCTTGAGGAAGGCAGCACTGCCCTTCCATTCACTGATCAGCATTGCTCTCCCTGAGCACAGAACACTGCTGGAAGCCAGGACATCACTGACCATTCCCTGCTGCATTTTTCCTAGGCTTTTTCTAAGGGAATTTCAAAGACCACAGAAAAAGGTGCTAAAGGTTCTCTCCCAAGAGTGCTGCAGGCAGTGACTCTACTGCTGACTAGACAATGTGTGATTGCTGTGATTGCCCTAAGCAGCTGCTAAAAGAAGACCTGGGTAATGTATAAACAGTCAAGTAAAACAATAAAAGGCCACCACCCTCTAGTGGGGCTGCTGCTCCAGCTGTCACAGTTGCATGCCAAACAGTTCCAGAGCTCCAGAATATAGCCTGAGGTCCCTGGGTTAGCATTGTATTGCATAGGAGTCAGAGATAACTTAGGCACTGAGAAGTGGCACATTTTTAGGTCTGACAGAAATAAACATGTCACTGATGATATTACCTGAATCCTCTGCACTTTGGGAGAGCTCTGGGAGCTTTTGGAGTAGTGTAGCTGGCTGGTGATATTCCAAATCCAGTGGGAAAGCACGTTCATAGGTGGGATTTGACTGATGGATCTGGGTCTGGTTGTTGGCAATGGTGTAGCTGTAGAAGGAGAGGCGAACGGTGGCATCTTCCTCCAGGATGCGCCGTGGGGACTGCAGGAGAGGAAAAACACCGAGGCAATGCTCAGTTGTTAAGTAATGTGTTGGCTGCAACCACAGCAACTTCCAGTAACATCTTGGATAGGGCTGGCATGTCCCCCTGCTGTGAGAACAGCTTCAGCTGCTCTGCGGAGCTCAGGAAACCTTGTGCTTTCTACAAGTCTGAGTTCATTAGGGTCAATGCTTAGTACTGAACTTGTGCTGCAAAATAGCCCCATTGTATTACCTTTTCCAGCCTTTTTTGAACATATTGCTTCCAAAGAATAATGATTATAATCATCAGGAGCAGCAGGATAATAGCCACAAGGCAGCCCACGAGGATGGAGGTATTGGAGTCATCAGCCTTCTCTCCTATCCAGGTGCTGGTTACAGAAGATGTGGTTTCTGCAATCACAGAGGTGTGAAGAACAATCTGGAGTTAAAGCACCCGTGGTTATCTGTGCTGGCCAACTTCCTACAGTCTGGTACAGAAAAGGCTCCCTGAGCTTAACAGTAGCTGTGTTCACATCCTGCTTTTATCAGGAACTGGAGGCTCACAGCTAAGAATTGTGCAGAGAACTTCTGCAATCAAAGACTGCTCTTAACAGAACAGATCCTGCAATGGATCCCATACCAGAGCAGACAGTGCAGCTCCACTGGCTGCACACATGCCCTCAGCCTGTGCTCTGAGACAGCCCTGTCCAGCTGAGGGAAGAAGGACTGCCAGATGCTGCTCTGTGCATGAGGGCACTAACCAGGGCATCCCCAGAACCCCAGAGATGGAGGGAGAGACCACATTAACTAGGATGGTACTGTGAAACCCCCCAGCCCTTGAGCCCCTGGCATGGCTGAGGGACAGAAATCCTTACCCCAGGTCCCCTCAGTAACGTTGTACTCTGCTTCCAGAAGGTCTGCAGTGCTTGTGGCTACTGTAACGAAATTGGGATTCACAGTCTCCATGTCTGTGGAAGGAACGGGAAGACGTCAGTCCAACGAAACCTCCCTGCTCCTGCCAGCAGTCCCTGCAATCCCAGCCCCCAGCAGGGCAGGACTGAGGTCCAGGCAGCAGGTTAGGAACAGCAGCAGCAGAGATCCCTGTGTGCTCAGCATCTCCCAGCACACCTGCAGGAATGAGCCTCTGCACTGCACAGCACAGACATCCTGACCACAGCCAGCACCAGTGGGTGCAGGCCCTTCCCTGAGCTCAGCCACACAGGGGACTGGAACCAGAGCTTTTTATCCATTTTGGCATGACCTCAGAATCCCCATCCCAGGCTGGACCAACAGCCTGCCTAGTCCCACATGTGACAGGGTAGCCAGGACAGGCTGCTGTCAGCACAGTAAGCACCAAGCAGCACTCAGAGCATTCCTTCCCTGAGAACATCCTCTCACTGTAGCTGATTAGAGACCTTTGAGCAGAAATCTAGAGTCAGATCATTTCACCATCCGTGCTGGTGGTTTTCTCCAAGACTCTTGTCCTTTCCCTTCTGGAGCCTTTTAAAGCACCTCATGGCACTGACTTCTGTGTCATAGTTAAGACTTGAGGAAAAAGAGTCAGCCTCTTATTTTTAATAACCAGTTCACTTGATCATCTGTAGATACACCTAAATTATTCAAAACAAAATACTCAGTAAAGAGAAGTAAAAATCAACCTCACAACCAGCAGGAAACTGCCTGAAATGCTCTACAGTCCAACTTTTGGTTGCCTTGGTTGTGCTTCTGCACACGTGCATCAGGAGCAGCCTGGAAAGCATCCACTGCAGACTGGACCTTTCTGCCCCATCACTGCCCTTCCAGTGCTGGTATTTCCTCCTCCTTCCCACTGAGTAGCCCCTCAGCACCTACACTCCTGCTAACCCCACACATCTGCACTTCCACACCCTTAGCTTCGGTCTCTGGGCTTTGGCTTCAGTGGAGGAACACTCACCTGACTGGAAGGAAATCTCACTCATCATCATCCAGGTGTCAGCGAAGTAGAAGCGGCACAGGATGGCTTTGCCCACGCGCTGGCTGAGGGGCACAGTCACGAACCTGGCGCTGGGGTTCTTGTCATCCAGCACCGTGGCCACTCCCACAGGTTCAGGCTCCCAGTCTGCAATCAGCCGTGGTTTGAACAGGCACTCCACCCTCTGGAAGATCTTCACCCCCTTGGAGAACATGTTGTTACAATGCACCTAAGAAGAACAGGTCCATCAGACAGGAGATTTACTGAAATCAAGCCCCAGGGATTTTCCATACATGAAGATTTTCCATTCCCAGTATCTCCCTGTACGAATAATCCTGACCCAGAAGGAGTGACTTGTTCCAGTGTAGCTCCAGCCACTCATAGTGTGCAACAAGAACACTTGTTATTCTGAAACAGCTCTTAACTTCACCTGCAAAAGCTACTATAATGGTCAAATCTTGGCAGGCTCTTCAAAAGGCCCAGTAAAATCAATCCAGCAAACCCTGTGCTAATCTACAGCCTCACAGACCAATTCTCCTTGAACATGTAACCAAAGAGGGGAAAGAAAAACCACACCTAGGCTGTAGAGTCTCTTAGCATTGAATATTTGATAATATTTGAATAGCTAAGTGCTTGCCTGACATAAGGAGCTTGAATTGTTAGCTGAACTTTACCTGAACTGTGTTGGTTAAGTCAAAGATGGATTACAGTGAACACTGGAGCTAACAATCTGATCATTAACAATAAAGATGGATTGTAGCAAAACTTGTAGATAACAATCTGATCATCAATAATAATTAACATAGACAATGCTGCAGTTTAAACATTGCTTAAAGAATAATAGCTGGAGTGGACAGCCCATAGATCATGGTCTGTGAGCTGTAACAACTGTGTTACATGGGCCACAGAACCCACCAAACCCCCACCAAAACCCACCTCAGAGGCTGGGGTGGAGGTGATCACATGTGAAGGGACCTCAGAGCTTGGGGTGGAGGTGATCACATGTGAAGGGACCTCAGAGCTTGGGGTGGAGGTGATGTGACCACACGGCAATCACTTGGTAATGGAACAGTGAAGCAATGAAGAGCAAGAAGACCCCAGACCTTAATACTGCTCTTGGTCCTGTCACAGGAGGGATGGGAGTTTGAACTGTAAGAGTATGATTGCCCAGGGGTTTCTTTGTCTGTAGTCCCTCTTTTGAGACAGCAGCTTGAGCTACAAGATAGCACAACTGATCTGTGACCACACGGCAATCACTTGGTAATGGAACAGTGAAGCAATGAAGAGCAAGAAGACCCCAGACCTTAATACTGCTCTTGGTCCTGTCACAGGAGGGATGGGAGTTTGAACTGTAAGAGTATGATTGCCCAGGGGTTTCTTTGTCTGTAGTCCCTCTTTTGAGACAGCAGCTTGAGCTACAAGATAGCACAACTGATCTGTGCCAATAAGTCTATCTAATGGAGAGCCTCGTGTCCAAAATGCCTTTAGTACTTAGAAAGCCTTCAGCATCTGCAGTCTAAGTTCTTCAGAAAAACCCCAAAACAAGCTCAAGAAGATATTCCCCTGACATGCAGCAGTTGTCCTGCTGTGGTCACACCTTGAAGACAACTAAGGATATGAGTCTTGGGAAAACCATCACATCCAGCAACCTCTCCTGGTGGCTCATATCAGGTTGTCTCTGCCGCAACCCCTGGTTTAGCTCACAAAACTGGAATTTAAGTGCAATCACTACACTGCCAAGCTAACTCCTCACTGGACCAGAGGCATCTCCCATCGCCCAGTTACAGCTCCACACAACTGTGTACAGACTGAATGGCTCACAAACAAACTTCCAGGCTGACTTCACACCTCCATGTCTGGGAGGCCTCTTTTACCCCTGCAAGAGCTGGGAGCAACTTCCTCCCTCGCTGCTCCTGGGCTGCCCCCACACCAAGAGGCTCCAGCATCAAAGTGACATCTCTATCTTCCTGGGCTGCAGCACTGCAGAGCTCTCAGCACCACACACCTGGCACTCTCCCAGGCCTCCAGCACCTCCAAGGAAGGAGGCTTTGGGAAGAGGGACAACGCTTTGAAGCATCCTTTATGCTGTTACACTGTGATTCCAATGGAAACCTTACCTTGCACCTCTCTTCTAACACACACCAGTGAGTTCTGCCATGCAGTGCTGAAGCTCTGGACCAAAGTACCTTGGCACTGTTGTCAGTGCCAGAAACCATAAGAAATAATGGTTCCAGTCTTCAGTATCCCTCATAGCCACAGTGGTCCAATGCTCCCTAGTAACTCTAGGAATTACTTCCTATAGACTGTGGAGTATGTGCCACGATGACAACAAGTCTCCAAACTCTGCCCAGCTTTGAAGCCTACTAATTGCTTGGCCCCTGCGAGGTCCTGCAGTGAATAGCAGTGAAGCAGTAATGAGGACAACAGGCCTGATGAGCAGCAAGAAGACAAAAGAAGGCTATTTGCATATAATTAGGAACAGATGAAGCTTAGACAACTATTCAATAAGGAGAAACAGTCATCCATAACAAGGCAGGAAAGCCTGATGCCTGGAATATACAATTTGGGCCATATTTGGACAGGAGTTGGATATGTTCACATCTTGGACTGATACAGAGACACTTTCTATTCCAAACACCTCCTACTCAAGTCCAATTTTACAACACACAAGCCTAGGCAAAACTTGGTAACATTTATTTTTCATACTTCCTTGGACACTGAGGAAGTTCAGGACTGGATAAAGCTCATAGGTCTGATGTTCTCACCTGGCCTGCACAAAAGAAATGCAAAGCTGAAACAGTCAATAAGTAGCGAAGACTAATTTATGCTAATCAAGACAGATTTATTATGAAATACTAGAAGGAGTAGCTGTTTTTATGAGTTGATGTGTTTGATTATCAGGACGGTTGTGTTTGTGACAGACTTTTGGAAGGCACGTGATTTACTCACAGCATCTGTCTCCAATTAGCATAGTATGGGCTCATGTATCACATTAATTTGATTAAACACTGTCAACTGCTAAGTTTTACAAATTTTAATGCACAAGTTCTTCTCTAGGTGTTTTTCTAGCTCAAAACTCTTTGCTACCTTTTTCAATGACCTGCAAGAGACAACAGAATCATTAGCAACAGAAGAACTTAAATGGGGGGCAAGGAGCTCCCTAAAATAATCTGAAGTGTTCAGGACTGACTCATGTCAAGGTAGTGAACTCAGGGACAAAAATCTAAGTGATGCTTTCCACACTGGACTTTTATCCTGGACACCAGTAACTTGGAACTGACTCTTAGCATGATACCAAAGCCTTAATGAGCACTGGCTCCCTCTGGGTTGGCTTGGAGGATGAATAACATCACAAGATTCATAAACAAAAAAGAAACATCCAAAAGCAGGAAATTGGACTATTCTTTTTAGGCAATTTGATGGAAAAATCTGCATCCAGCTGCAGATTCTGTACCTCCAAAACAGTACCAGCGAAGAAAGGACTGGATGAGAGCTCCAAAAATGATCCCAGATCTCACCAGGAAGGCACTGAGAAAGTCCTGCCAGTTTGGTTTACTGAAGCAAAAATTAAGAGAGTGGTTTAATCACAGTGTAGAAGCAGCAGATTTCAGAGGAGGCAGGAGGACTTATTTTTGCCAGTGAAAACAGGCAAAGAGCCAAGGGTTGCAAGTTAAAAATAGACAAAATAAAACCAGGGTAAGTAACCACCAAAACAATTTACTTAAGGATGTGGTGGGTTCTCCTTCATTTGAAATCTCTACAAGAAAAGCCACCAACCCTTTTTAAAAGATTCTGCTGTTTACTACAGACTCAAAGTTCAGCTCATGTTTTTCCTGTGTATTTAAGTAATTTCCCACAGCACAAGCACAAACTGAGGCATCCACAGAAATGTTTGGTTAAAATGGAAGCACAACCACATTCCTTTACCTCAAGGGTCAGGCAGTCCCTACACAGCAGAGCTATATCATACATCTGTCTCAGCTGCCTAATCGCTGCTTCAGGTGTTTTCTTGTAATTCCTTTAAGCCAAACACTTAAAGGAGAGTGTCTGAGCTCTGGAGAGGCAAGTGCTCCCCTTCTACACTGGCAACGTGGGGCATCTCCTGCTCAAACCACTTCAGGGATGGGGCATGCACAGAGTACAAAAGCTCTACAGCAGATCTGCACTGCCAGAGGGCAGGGTTAGACAGGATGCTGGGAAGCAATTCTTCCCTGTGAGGGTGCTGAGGCACTGGCACATGTTGCCCAGAGTTGCTGTGGCTACTCCATCCCTGGGAGTGTTCCAGGCCAGGCTAGATGGGGCTTGGAGCAACCTGGGCTAGTGGAAGGCGTTCTTGCCCACAGCAGAGGGTGGGACCAGAAAAGCTTTAAGGTCTCTTCCAACCCAAACCAGTCTGAGATTCTATGACCAGATTCTAGTCCAGAGGAGGCCACAAAGCTGATCAGAGACTGGAGCACCTTCCCCACAAAGACAGGCTGAGCGAGTTGGGGCTGTTCAGCCTGGAGAAGAGAAGGTTGTGTGAAGAGCTCAGAGCAACCTGCCAGGAGCTGAAGGGGCTCCAGGGAAGCTGCAGAGGGACTCTTGGTTAGGAACTGCAGGGACAGGACAAGGAGCAATGGGGAGAAATTGAAAGAGGGAAATTTGGATGAGCTATCAGGCAGACGTTTTTGCTGTGAGGGTGATGAGACACTGTCCCAGGTTGCCCAGGGAGGCTGTGGCTGCCCCAACCCTGGCAGTGTTCACAGCCAGGTTGGCTAAAGCCTTGAGCAACCTGCTCTGGTGGGAGGTGTCCCTGCCCAGGGCAGGGGTTGGGGCTGGATGAGCTCTGAGATCTATTCTAACCCCTTACTATGATTCTATGACCCAAAGGGGCAACCTGGAAGCACCCAGACCCAAAGCCAGGCTGCTGGAGAGGGACCACTCTGACTACCTTCATGGAGGTGAAGTTCCGTGGTCGGTCAAACTGGAACTCCATTTCCACAGCACCTGTGCTGAAGCTCTCATTCTTCCAGCCAACGTAGTCATAGCCAGGCCACACACGGTACTGGTGGCTCTGGGTGAAGTCATCCAGCCCCAGCACTCCATCTGTCAGCTGGCCCAGTCCTCCATATAGATGCCTGGCAAGGGAGAACCAACAGTGAGCCACAACAGCAGTCAGGACAACTCCAATGTGAAAGCACTCGAGTCTTTCAACTGGTAACAGAAAAACATGAATTTATTTACCCTTAACCCACCCTGGACAAGAACTTATTTACAGTTCTTATGCAGCATCACCTTGATTTTGTTTGGGCTTTTAAAATCTTTCCCAGCTTGGGAAAAGACAGAAGGTTTTGCACTGACAAGGACTGACAGCAAAGCCAAGCTACAAGCAGAGCCTCTTGAGAATGAAAACTGACACTCAGGAAAGTGACTCTGTGTGCTGTCCAAACAGAGCTGGAATTGCAGTTTCACCATGCAGCTGCATGGGAGGAACACTGCTCCATCCTGTCCTGGGGGAGGCTGCAGGGAAGGTTCAAAAAAGCAGGAAAGGGAGTAGTGAGACCATGGGCAGCTCACCCAGCCACAGCCAGTACTAACTGGGATGATTTCTGGCACTGCTCCTTTGCAAGAGGACAGTGCTACTTGCTCCGAGGCCGATGGGACTCTGTGCCAGGACCCTCATTCCACTTCCTATCGGAGAGCACAGAGCCTAGTATACAGTTTTCCAGCACAGTCCCAGAGCAGGAGATGCCAACATGGCTCACTCCAGACGCTTCTGGGAGCCATCCCTGCCACATCCTCTGTCCCACAGCAGGGAAAGTGCAAAGAGCTCAGCTGTGTCAGTGCCTCAACTCACTCCCCTGGACTGGTTTCATTCAGCTCTGTGCAGCCTTCCAAACCTATGCTGGGCTGCAGCTCTGAGTCCATCCACGGTGACCCCTCCTGTCACTAGAATTTGCACAGGAACAAATGCCTTGCACCCCAAGACAGGATTAACAGCTGGAAGAGGCAGACTCCTGCTTCCAGGCCAGGTGGACACATGACGTAGAGGTTAAGTAGTTCAAAGGAGTCCTTGCTTAGCAGGTTGGGTTTTGTGCCTACATCTGCAGCTCACTGATACTCCCCAGGGCTTCCTAGGTTAGTGCTGGACAGCTAAGTGCAACACCTACTCATTTCTGCACATAAACCCCTTGTGTTTTTTAATATCCAATCCCTACTATATCAGCACAGCTGGGAAGCAGATATTAACACACAAAGCCATTGCTACCTGGTATCTTGCAACATCCTACAAGCATGAAGAATGTGCTTTCCACCCTGTTATTTTAACCTCCAGCATGACAGAACACGAATGAGCTTACAAAACTCTCACCTTTAAGCATAAAAAAATCTCAGGCAACAGTAAAAATTTACAGGAAGTTAGTAACTGAAACAGGACATGTAATAAAAGCACATCTGAGTCAATGGATGACACCAGGACACTGAAGACACACTGCCAGGTCACTCATTAGGCAATTCCTGCCCTGGCAGGGATCTGCTGCCTCAGGAGGACACCCATGCCCAAGTTTGTCTGAGGCTTCAAGCCATTGAAACACACTCAAATCTCTATTTATAGCAAAGAAAGTGGTCACACCAAGTGTCTGAGAGTTCAGCCAGTTACTTAATGTTTCAGATAGAGACTCTCAGTGTACTTTCCTTCCATGAGAGTCAACTGTTGGGTAAACCAGAGACACCTCAGTGTGTCAGTAACACCCAGATCTCAGTGACGTGAAATGAGCTGTCAAAAACCAGTTCCTTTAGGCTTTTTGACTCCAAATTGGAAAAGCATCATACCCAAGAAACCTTTACAATGAGCAATCAGTCACTTTCCTCTCATACCACACGGGCAGTGGTGCCTCTGCTGACCTGGAGCTTCTCACAGGGAGTGATGCAGTTTTCCAAGTTGAGTCCATCAGAGCTCTGTTTTCAAAAACAACATCTCAAATCTGTCCAGAAGCTCACAGGTACCAAGTGCAGGCCTAGAGTTCAGGTGTTGCACACTTTCTTGGATGCCCAGTTTACCCTGGAGACCTCCTGCAACAGTTTGAGATGCAATCTGCTAGGAAATGCAGGTCAGGTATCAAAGTGCAGAAGCAACACAGACAGTGAACGGGGCAAGGACCTTCACCTGTTCCAGGGGCACTGGGACTTGCCCAGTATCAGCTCTGCCACTCCAATCAGGGCCAACAGAAGAGTAGCAGCACCTTATGACCTGCAGTGCCAAAGACAGCTTCAGGCTGAACCAACAGAGACATCAGTACAAGGAACATGGTCACAATTAGAGACCAAAAGCCATGAGGGCTTTAAGTCACCAGGGCTGTACCATCACATCACATAAAGATGGAGGGCACTGCTGTTTTGGAACACATCTCTTTAAAGAGAAGTAACACCTTCTAATAAGAAAATAAATTATTTTGTTCCTGCCAACCACCTCTGTCAGCTGGGGGAAAGCAATCTGATAGATGCTGAGCCCTCACCCTCCTTTAAAAGAGCCAGTAACAACAGGGCAAAGGGCCTGGAATAAGAAAGCCATGATGCTTCGGAGCCCCAGCAGGCTAGTTTGCAGCTCTGGAGGTCTCAAAGCAGTGTTTGGGCTACAAGATACTAATGACAAGATGAGCAGGAAAGAAGAGATAATTTGCAGTGCCCGAGAGAGAAGCGGATGACGTCTCTCACCTGCGCTCCTGGTAGCCATCATAGGTGGAGTCATTGAGATAAACGATGGGGAAGCCAGGAGCAGCTATTGTCCCTCCTTCAGGGATGCTATAGGATGCCAAACCATCTGAAAAAGAAGGCCAGATACCTCAGAAATACAGCAGCAGCTTTCCATCGTCTCTGCCCGTATGACCCTGCTAGTCATGATGTGCACCAACAGGAGCAGTTCCCTGGGCCTGCCATTCCCTCTGCACACGTAGGGATGCAGGCAAGTCCCAGTCAGAGTTGTGCAAGGAATATTTTCCAGGGACAGGCATGGAAATTGGTACTTACCATACCAGACACAGCCATAAAGCTCCACCCTCATGCAGACAGTCACTGGCATCTTTGTCACAGGGATCACCCGGATGAACCGCGCAATGATGGGAGGACGGAGATCGTTCAAGACCACATCATAAGTATCAATGTTGCCATCAACCACCTGGAGAAGAAAGATCCTTATCAGCAACTTCTCCCTACTGTGCTGGTCAGCTGTGCAGTGGTCTACTTGTACCTTGTTGTTTGAGACTGGGGAGCTTCCCCATGCAGGATGTGCACAGGGTGAGCTGCTACTGCTGCTCCCCTCCTCCTCCTCCCTCCTGGTACGTGGCTGAAGGGGTGAAGGGTGCTGCCATTTCACCTCCTGCCCCCTGCAGACCCCCACCAGCAGCACTGAGGGAGAGGAGAGAGGCAGGTGGGAGATGAAGATGCATGTGGAAACCTTGCAGAGAGTTCCAGTTACCAGTATGCAACCTCTGCCTTCAAGTGAGTCTCCATGCACATTCCCACAACAGGTAACTGAGCACTTGTCCTCATCACTAGTTACCTGGTGGAGGGTCCTGATGGCCTTTCTCTATAAGCCAACAAAATTCTAGAGGTGTTTGGGGGGATGAAGGTGCAAACAGATACACTGGAGAGATCTTGAACTGAAGTGTTCAGCCTTGCCACAGTCAGCCCATGCTGCTGCAGTGCAGTGTGATAGGGCAGGAACCTTCACCCTGCCCTTCCCCTCAGTGCCACTGTGGTTCTGGAAACGGTCCACTGTTGATTTTGACAGGGTGTGCAAACAGCTGAAGCTGTCAGTCCCCCAGCAGTGGACACAAAGTGGCCAAGAGAATTTTTGGAAATGATTTGGGCCTATGGAAACAAAACAAAGAACACTTAGGCATCAGAAGTCCAAACTAATGTGCGAGGGATCCTGTTCAAAGATGCTGTTGGTGGGAAGGATGAATCAGGCTGAGGTTACACAAAAGACCACACATTGCAATTGTTGATGTAAAGGCAACTTAGATGAGGGAGGCCAACATGGGAGCAGAAAGGTGCCTTCCTCTTCATGGCAGCAGGGAAGATCTCCAGACAGTAAGTGTGGCTGAAGAGTCCATTGAGAAGTGCAAGACCTTACTGTATCACAGAAAGAAATCACACAGACTTTATCTCCCTGAGGAGAGATCCCATCTGCATCAGGCAACATCAGTGTCACTGGAAGGGACCACCCTCAGCTGGTGTCAGAGACAAGGGGACACCAAATTGACTTTTGTGTTTACTGAGGAAGTTAAAGCTGGAGGTGACTGTCCTGGAGAGGAGCAGCAGGTGCTACTGGTGTGAAACTGAGCAGCACAGTGAAATGTTTAATTTTTTTGCCTGAAACCATTTGTGTGATCCCTTGGACAGACACAGCAAGATGGGCTCACATGGTCAGAGCTCTGAAGTACCAGTGAGTGGGTGTCCATCAGCTGCAGGGCTGGAACAGGCCTTCCTAATGCATACAAATCCGTGGATTGGGATCTTGCACCTCATTCCAAAGTATGAATGAGTTCACAGGAGATTTTTACCAAATTATTTGACCAAATAGCAGTGCTTGTGAAACACAGATTCACTAATGGAACATGCCACTTACTGGTGACATGTTTTAAAAACATGTTTTATGGAAAGTCATTTTTCAGAGGAGGTGAAATGGCAGGAATTGTATTCCATTGTGTATGCCCAGAACATCAGGAGCAAAGGAGCAGAAGCATCTTCTCTAAGGATACCAGGAGGGAAAACTGTTTGGTCTCATGCAATGGGGAACAGGTACACACACTGACAATATAGGTGGATTTCCACATATACAAATGCCTCACATTATAGCTTCACACAGCTGAATCCATGCTCATTACTTTATTGTGGCAAAAGGTGACCCACACTGAATCCTAACACCTGACACCCAGGCCTGAGTGCCTGAGAACACTGCTCTGCACAGGCCTGGGGTGGGAGCCAAGGGGCAGTGAGCTGCTTGTGGACAGTGCAACCCATTCAATTCTGGTATAACTCAGAATGCAGACAGACTTCACCTATGAAAATACTGACAAAAAAGAGTTAACCCCATTGAGTTTAAACTTCCCCTTCCCTCCTGCAAACACAGTGTTTGTAGCACACACCAAATTCTGAGGGACGGGCAAGATAATGGTAATTGCCAAACAGCCAACCAAAAGTTTGGGTGAGAAAGTAATTCATTAACAATCTAGAAGCCATGACCTGACACTGCAATACAGACCCTCCTGACTTTCAAAGCATCCCCAGTGCAAGAAAACATCACCACACCCAGTACCTTTCTAGTCTGGCTTAGGTCTTCAGACTCCACAAGCTAGCTGAGGCAGAGTGACCAGGTCAACTGAGCTGAGGGTGAGAGATGGAGATGCTTTCCCAGGGCAAGTTTAGCAAAGGTCATTATGAACACGACCAGAGCTGTGTGCTCAGGTCTGGAGATACCATGAGACAACTATGTTGAGCAAGGTAAGCTTCTCTGTGTGTGCTCAGCACAACTTCTACCCTCTACCCTCCTCCTTCCTCATTGCCCCTACACTGAACACTACTATCAAACACCCAGAAACTCCTCTCTATTCTCTGCCACTCCCTCCCTTTTTTAATCCCAAGCAGGCACCTGCTTTGCAGTTTCCAATTTAGAAACAGGCATCTGGCTGGTAGAGGGACACTCACATGATGTTTGGAACATGCACAGACAAGTAATGAAGAGCCACAGTTTCCAGTCACAGCAATGACTGTGATTTGGGGGGATCAGGTCAGGGGAATAACAGTCTAACACCACAGCAAACACAGCCAAGCCAGAACACACTGCCTGACAGCAAAGAGTCAATGCACTAAGCAGGAAGTAGAGGATGTGCCTTCGACAGTCTAGTTCTGTCTGAGCTGACCTGTGTGTGCTCCAGGACTGAGCTCCCTGTGCACTTGATAGCACAGAGTAAAATGTTTGGAAGTGTGGTAGTCAAGGTAGACCTCAGTGACAAAGATGGGTATTATGTTTAGTAGAGCAACGTGAACTTGTATGTACTTGCATATCCATCTGCACATATCTGCTTGATTAATAGATTATTATTTGCCTGATTAATAGATTATTATTATAAGATCTTGAAACTATGTTTGGGGGCACTATAACAATGATAAAAGGGCACTTGAAGTTATGCCTAGGGAGGATTGTAACAATAATCAAAAGCAACTGGGATCCATGCTTGGGTGAAATCAACAGAATAATAGTAATATAATGATTAATCTATGGTTATGTAAGAGAAGAGTATAAAATGTATCCATCTCAAATCCATGTCGGAGTCAGATTTGGGTCTGTACCCCGACTCCCAGAGCTCTTCAATAAAAGCACCCAGATAATCATTCAGTGATTATGTGTTTTCTACACTAACACACTCACCTTCCTGCCCTGGCGGTTCTTCCAGGAGATCCAGCGCTCGCCGTTGCGGCTGTAGTCGATGCGGTAGGCGCGCGCGTACTCTTTGCCCGTGGCACGAGCGTGTCGGCCCTGAGTCCCGATCAGCGTGATAAAAAACAGCTTGTGCAGGTCAATCTGCAGGAACTGGACATCTTCTGGCTGCAACAAGCCAGCTGGGCACCAGGCTCCATCCCCCTCTTCCCTTTGTAACCTGAAGGGAAAACCACACACATGAGAAAAGGTCATTTCCAAGGATCAAGCCTTACTAGTAACTGAGGGAGCACCTTGGAACATTGAGGATTGGGAGGAAGCAACCAAATCAGCAAGTGAGATCAGGCATATGGGTAATGGGTATAAATTGAAAGAAAGGAAATTTAGATTACATTAAATATTTGGAAGAAGTTTTTCCCTGTGAGGGTGTTGAGACACTGGCACAGGTTGCCCAGGGAGGCTTTGGCTGCTCCATCCCTAGAAGTGTTCAAGGCCAGGTTGGACAGTGTTTGGTGCAATCTGCTCCAGTGGAAGGTGTTCCTGCCCAAGGCAAGGAGTGGAACTAGATGATCTTTAAGGCCTCTTCCAACCCAACCCAGTGTGACTCCATGGCACCACAGGCCAGCAGAGCACAGCAGCCAGCAGCAGGTGGAGCCACTGCTGACACAGGCTCAGCTGGGCAAGCCACGAGATGGGGAAGAGCTAGTGAAAAATTTATTTGGACACCCAGAAACAGTCTGGGCTTTTTAGCAACAAGGATTTCTTAGCAAACAGCAGACCCTCGAGGTGCTCCTGCCTTTTGGATCTTGCCTATCCCACCTGTAGCTGATGGGATCAGTGAGTAGCATTCCACATGCATCAGGGAAGGTGGTACCCTCAAGGCACAGGCTAGAGAAGATTCTAGTCTCAGGTAGGTCAGCTGTGTGTGCAAGACGTTCTTACACTGAAGTAGCAAGTAAAAAGTTATATAAAAGGCAGGAGGGGTGACTGTTGAATGACAGGGACAGACATCTGCACAGGACAACTATGACCTCTAACCAAATGAACTCAGCTACAGGCTGCCTTCATGTCTTCACCCTGTGGACATCCAGCTGCCCTGGTAAAAAGAGGATGGTAACAGATGGGACGTGATGCCCAAAGTGTTTGCAGCACTGGACATCAGCCATATCTCTAAAGCCTCCCAGCTTTCAGACCACAGGCTTGTCCAAACTCCATTAGAACACAGCACACTTAGCACTGCTGCTCTGGCACAGACTAAGAAAAAGTACTAATAAAGCAATAGGAGAATTTTATGATTTTGGATTGCCTAAATTCATCATTAAAATGTAAGTATCATAGTTAAGCAGAACTTCCTATCTGACTTGCACTTCTAAAGGAACTCACATTTGTAACTGTTTTGTGGATGATCAGTTGTTAGCTTTGAGAGAAATAAAACAACAACAAAAATGAAAAGCCAAGCTTATGACAAGGACTGCAGTCCTGCTTGACAGCAAAGGAAAATCCTTTAGCTGCTTGTTACCAATCCCTTAACCCTGCAGTTCCAGGGTTTTGAGTCAGGGTGAGCACAGCCCATTTCCTCAATAGGATGCTGTTGAAAAGTTCATCCTTATGAAGGATTTCCTATGATTTAGTTTCAAGTGCTCTGCTAGAATCCCAGGGGCACTGTCCCTGGCTGACCTGTAAATCACAAATCCATTAGAGATTTATTCACAGAGCTACAGGAAGATGAGGGTCAGAAGGAACCTCTAAGTCTCTAGTCCAATCTCCTGCTCACAGCAGGGCTAACAGCAAAGCTACAGAGTGTGCTCCTCAAGGTCTTGCATAGCCAGATCATAGAATCATAGAGTTTTAGGGGTTGGAATGGACCTTAGAGATCATCCAGCACCAACCCCCTGCCCTGGGCAGGGATACCTCACTAGATCAGGCTGCTCAAGACTTCATCCAACCTGGCTGTGAACACTGCCACGATTGGGGCAGCCACAGCCTCCCTGGGCAACCTGTGCCAATGTCTCAGCACTCAGAGTAAAAACCTTTTTTTCTCACATCCAACCTAGATTTCCCCTCCTTCAGTTTGAACCTGTTACCCCTTGTCCTGTTACTACAGTTCCTAGCAAAGAGTCCCTCTCTGGCTCCTTGTAGGCCCTTCAGATATTGAAAAGTTGCTCTGAGGTCTCCACACAACCTTCTCTTCTCCAGGCTGAACAGGCCCAACTCTCTCAGCCTGTCCTCATAGTGAAGGTGCTCCAGTCCTCTTATCAACTTTGTGGCCTCCTCTGGACTTGCTCCATCAGTTCCATGTCCTTCTTATGCTGAGGACACCAGAACTGTGTGCAGTATTCCAGGTGGGTCTCACGAGAAATCCTGAAATCCCCGAACACTGAGACATCAGCACCTCTCTGGGTACCTGTCCCACCACTTCATTCTTATAGGGAAGGAATTTTTTTCTTCATATTTCACCAGAATTGCCTATATTACAGCTGTGACCCTGACCTTTGCCTCTTGGTCACTCATTAGGCACTAATTAGATTTAAATGGAAGCAGTGAGCAAGGTTTCTTAATGGATAGAGGATCTTCTTCAATCATATAGTGGATATTGAGAAGAAAAAAAAAGGATTAATTGTTGTCCCAGAGCTTAACCCACCTTGCATACTGGGGTCCTGTGGAATCATACCACTGGCTGGAGGCAGTGATGTCTTCATCTCGTATCGTCCCCTCGTGCATGCCCAGAGGGTATCGGCAGATAGCTGCGAACCGAACACAAAAACATCAGCATTCATCTTTTCTAAGTCATCAGACAAGTTTAATTCAAAGGCTCTCATGCCTGGGGAATCAACATGGTAATGATAAAATAAAGCATGCAAATTAAAATGATTAAATAGTTCATAATTACCATAGTAATAACTCAGAGTATCATTCAGCAGAGCCTGAGGAAGGCACAAACTCCACAAAGAAACATTTTAAGACCATGAAATCCCAAACCATACCATTGTTACTGGTTGCATGGGCCCATGAAAACATTTATCAGTAATGATGTGACATATAAAGGAAGCATTTGTGCTTTTTCTTCTCCTGGAATAAACTGGATGCTTGACTTGCATTCTGATAGGAGCAATTACCTTCACCATCCAGTAACAAGCAGAAGTTGAACAGCTTCTGTTACAGATGACTAGAGGAGCTCATGGAAACATCTGCTGTCCTGTCACTGCAGGTTGGAGCTCACATTTGAGCCCCTAAGCATCCATGCCCTATCCCAGTCTGTTCCCTGCCTCCAGCCTCAACTCAAACAAGCATGGAAGACTCTCAAACTCGGTGCCTCCAGGGAGAACAGACAACTGGCTCAAGCCACAGAGCTCTACAAGCTCAGCACAGCTCCACACACCAACACTGCAGACGCAGCTTACAAATCCAAGCTGGCCAAGCTCTCTCCCCTGACATAAGTTTTTAAACATGTCTTGGAATATCAGAGATGTTTCAGAAAACTCTGAACCTTAATGCATTCATTAAGGCTCAGTATTCCAAACAGGCAAGTAGGATATTTTTGTCAGACTGACATCAACAGCAGTTTATGAAGAAAGTTAGATGGGATTAAATCATAAAACAATTAAAAGACAAAAAAAACACCCCAGTCAATGGCAAGTTCCAGAAAGAAAGGAAATGGACTGTCCTGGGAGCTCCTCCCCTGTCTGCAGGGACACAGACAAGTCCCAGCACATGCTCCAGTCACTCTGGAGTGGCACATGTGCTGGCTGGCACTGCCACACACTGCCACTGCCATCTCAGCAGGTCTGGCTGCCTCTCCCTCAGTGAGGGCACTCACTGCCTTGGGTGTTCTGCTTCCACGGAATCACAGAATGGGTTGGGTTCGAAGGGACTTTAAAAATCATCTACTGCTACCCTTGTACCAAACCTGGAAAAAGCTGAACAGGACTTGGACTTCGATGATCCCTATGGGTCCCTTCCAACTCAGGAGATCCTATGGTTCCATGCAAGCTGCTCACCAGGTTCAGAAGCTTCAAGACATGACAGAGGGATGAAACCCACCCTGTTGTTATCACCTCAGAGAATAAACCACTACATAACTACCTGATCCACCCCATGCAGAGATGTTTGCAAACAGAAGGTGCTTCAGCAGGGTTTGCCTGCAGCTGCTGGGTTGTGATGTATATTCCCAAATAATCTTGCAAAGGAGTTGGAGTTGTGAATGTGGTGAGGTGACAATGCTTGCTCACGATAGCAGGTTAATATTATTATTATTTAATATTGAAAAGCAAATTATGGCAATACCTATAGAACAAACTAGAAAACAGCATCACACCACTGTCTGTATTTGTGGAATAGAGCTCGTGCTCCTTCTCCTCTCATCAAAAGGCAGAGAAGGCAATACATGTAATGCAAAAGGAAAGATCAGCAGCTTCATCTTTACAAGTGGGATTACTGAAGTATGACAAAGGCCATTTGTATCCTGACCAATATATACCCTCACTGTGTCTCAAAATACCAGAGCCAGGAGCCATCAAAAGATAAGGCAGCAGAGTTCAAAACCAGCAGATATATCCTTAGTCTATTAAACACTCCAATGCCACAGATTCCCATGGGTTCAAAACCTCAGCTAGACAAACCCACAGCTAGCACAAGCAAATCCCCAAGTGCAGGCTCAGAAAGCTGCTAAGCAGTGGACTGCAGTGGTCCGAGAGGATCCCTGGGGTAAAGCTCTGCTGTGTGCCTGCCCCATCCATGTACTCTTCCAGAACCAGAGGGATGGGACACTGCTGGAGTCAGGCCATGAGCTGGATGGGCCCCTGGTCTCACCCAGGACAGCCACTCATATGTCTCAGGTTTCTCAAGAGGTCTGTTTACAGGATTCACTGGGAGGCAACTGGGGTCTGCCTGGATCAAGCATGACTCTGATTCCAGAAAGCCAACCAAGAGCTTTATCTGCTGCTCTCACATTGCACAGTCAGGTTATTTAGTAAACCAAACCACCCTCATCTGTCTTCACTCTTACCTGTCCCACCAGTACAACCTGCTCCACTGCTGCTGATCTATGAGCAAACACATGGAGATTTTCCAGAAGGGTGGGACCATCATCTGAAAGCAGAAAGTGCTTTCTGTGCTCCTGCAGTGAGAGTCCTGTACGGTCACACCTTATTTAAAGGTCAAACACACACAGTGCAGCAGTGCCAGAGGGAGAGCTAGCTAGTTGGGAAGGACTCTGGGGACTGGGACTTACTGCAATCCTTAATAAAACTCATTTGTTCACAAACCCAGGGCTGCAGATAGAAGCCAAGAGTGTCCCTGGCATTGCAGGATGCACTCTACAGCGGCAGTGCCTCTCACCAAAATACACATCACCTTGAGGAAAAGCATCCTTGGGCTCTGTTTAGGTGCCACCAGGACTCCTGCTCAGATACACCTGACCCTTTACTACACACTCAGGGACACACTCACGTGCCATGCAGGCAGGATCCACTGAGGCTCAGGAAACTGGCACTGCTTACCTGTCAGGGAGGTCAAACAACTCATGCTAGGCTAGAGGACTCCACAGGACTGTCCTACATAGGTCTGAAATCACCCCTAAAACAGCTCCTTTGGTTTGGAAGAGAAGGCAGGAGGTGCTTCAGACTGCTCCTAGATCAGATCAGGATAATCCATGGAGCCTGTGAGCATCAGCTTGGCCACGGTGCTAGAGTCTGGCTGGGAAGAATAGGGCATGGCAGCTGTGGGAGCTAAGGAAGCAAAGCTGCCTGACGGTGTCACAGGCAGAACTGAAGTGTGAGGGTTATTTCTTGGTGGAAGAGATTCCTGCAGGAGCATGGAACCACAGGAGCTGATGAGCAGGAGGCATTCCTCTGGCTTTTGTTCTTATCACCACCAAAAGGGATCTGTGTGTGACTGACTCTCCAGCTGCCATATTCCCTCTTCTTCCATGAGTTTTAACCACCAGAACCAGATGGCAGCCCCAGTTCCACGCTGCACGTACGGTGGGATGTACAGTGCAGGGAATGGCTGTGTAACAGGGAGCACTGGAGTGCTGCTGAGCTCCCTCACAGGCCTCACTTCACTTCTGGCTGCTTGCAGCACAACCTCAAACCTCTGCAAACATCCACAGGCCAGAGCAGGGTCAGAGCCAGCCACAAAGAGCTCCAAACAAACAGAGCCAGCCCCAGCAGAGCCAACACAGGCCCTCAGGGTAGCACTGCTGCCTCACCACACCTTCAGCCAAGCTGGAAAAGGATTAGACTCATTTATTTCACAGACTGTCTCCAGCACAAAACACCTCATTACAGGAATTTTTGCAATATATTGCAGACCATTATCTTTCTCATCTCCATCATGAGCATATCTTGCCAAATGCTGTAGGATAAGAGGCCCTGCCCTCCACAGGGACCCACAGGCTCATACCCCTGTCTCCACCTTAGCTTTGTGCCAGGTAAGGTTTTCTACCTTTGCTTCCACACTTCTCTCTCCAGAAACCCCCCTTGCTGGCTGGAGAGCTGTGGCTGATGCTTTGCTAACTGGTAATTTGTTTTCCACAGTGAGTGCAGAATCTCTGAGCCAGACTAGAGCCAGGTTTGGTCCGCAGGCCACATGGTCAAAGCATGAAGGGATATTCAGAGCTCAAGACAGGCCTGCTGGGAGCACAGACACTCTGGGTGGGCAGAGAGGAGCATGTCCATGTGCCTGAGCCCTCCTGGGAACAGCAGGAGAGGTGTTCCACTCCAGCACAGCTGTAAAGTCTAGAGAAGGGCACTGGGGAACTACATTAGTGATTATCTTTATGTGCATTCATGACACTCATATGTAATCACCACGAGAGGCAAAGAAAGGCTGAAAACATAGGAAAGGTGGGAGATGAGTCCTCTCCCAGCCTGGCAGCTCCCTACCAGGGTTGACTTCTGCACCAGATGGCTCAGGCAGGGAGGCCAACAGCAGCATGCAGAAGATCATGGTAGCAGTCGGAGGTGCCGCGCAGGGTCAGATGGGTGCGAGTCCTTCAACGGCAGCAGCTGCCATCTACATCTCTGAAAGACAAAGCAAGGAGAGATCAGAGTCCTTCCTAGGACTGCAGACTTCCAGTGTTGTCATTGCCTCGTGATGGGCTGCTGGGCAGTCTTCCATGCCTTCAGTCCTGACCTCAGCCCTGCTCTGACCCATCACTGGATCCGAGGCTTAGGGAAGAATTAATGATTGCCTACACCACCCCTAAAGCTATCCATGCAATGCAGCTCTCAGGTGCTCAGCTGCCATGACTCCTGGGTGGATGTGCTCTCTTAACTGCTCTTAAACAAGTCTAATGCAAAGTAATCTCTCTCTACTCAATTCTTCACTCTCATTTTAACAGCAAGCACTGAAGCAGCAGCTACAACAAACCTGGACAGTCCAACCAGGCTCCCCAAACAGGACTTACCCACCTCTATCTGTATCAGCTGCCAAGTACGCACTCTGGAACTTGCCACACAACCTTAAGATAAATGTCTTAAAGGGGGTGAAAATAATCTCTCCCTACACACCCACATTGCTGCCAAAAGCATATGTGCACTCATGTGTGAGCACACTTCATTTCCTGTTTGGAAACAAGGAAAATAGCAAAGGGCTTAAACACTGGCAATTTCAGTGGAAAGCCATGCTAACACCTAAAGGAACACAAGGTCATATCAGCAGTTATGGGAATTCTTTGTGTTCACATTCACCACGAAGAGCCTTGGGAGGTTCCCATCCTGGAGGCTAATTTTACAGAAGGCAGGTTAGAGGCTCTGTCTCCTAATGGAATGACAGGAGCAAAGAACACAGAACAAATCAATAAATGTTAAAGTTGCCAGGACCAGAGGCTGTTTGCTCAAGAATCCTCAGAGTGGTAGTAAAAAAGGCAACACTGCAGTTAGGGTTTGTTAGCAAAGGAAGAGAGGCTATAAAAGGGCCCATCACTATGCCAGTGCGTGCAGGAGCATCAGATGCCATTAGCTCAGAGACTTGTAACAAAAGGCTCTATTTTCCCACCCAACATAATTAAACTGTACAAGGCACAGCCAGGAGTTGCCCTGGATACCAAAGGAATTGGATATATTCACAATAGACAGATACACCACAGCTTCATAAATCCAAAGGTAAACCCTTTGGCTCAGGAAATCCCCCAGTCACAGATTGCTAGAAGCTAAATCAGGGTTAGAATCACTGAAGCTTGCCCTGTTTTCATTCTCTCTCCTAAGGATATGCTACTGGCCATTGTCCCTGCTGGATTCCGTCAGAAAAGATGGCTCTGAGCCTGAACAACAACTGAGGGCCCTCTTGGGAAGGGAGCCAAACAGGCAGGAGGGGAAGCTAATGATGGGTGGCTGCTGCCCAGCACTGCTGTGCCCTGCCAGGCAACACCACCAGCAAACCAAAACACACCTCAAAATTGCCAGGACACCTCCTGCTTCAGCCACCTCCTGCTCCACAGGAGCACCCTGGCCAGGGCTGGCAGCAAGGGGCTGTGATTTTGTGGCATCTTGGGTGGTGAGCATGCAAAAGCAAAGCACTGGGGAGAGAAAAATCTTAGCAGGAGGGTCTGGTGACCACAAAAGAGGTTCTGACCAAGCACTCTGCAGCTGTGTGTGCATCCAAGGGCATCGTTCCCCCCTGCAGTGGAAGGGAGTGATGGCTGAGGCAAACACACCAATTCCCATCATCCCATGACAGACTGCAGCTCCCACAGGGCAAAGACTTCTTGTAGTGAAGTGGAGAAAGACCTTGTAAAGAGAGTTTTGGGGCAGAGTATGAGGACAGACCTGGTGGGTATCAATTTATGCAGGTGATTTGCTAGTGTGTTCTGGAAGCTCTCAAAGCAAGACCTGCAAAGGGAACTACAGAGAGTTCAGCACTAGGAGACATATCCTCCCACAGAACCTGAGAAAGCTAATTGCCATGAACATTAAGGCTTTAACTTGAACCACTTTCCCTGAGGAGGTGATGGGAACACAGCAGAGACCTATTTGGTGGTACATGAGGTGCCCTGACCGTGCCCCAGGTCACGGCCCAGGTCAGCTGCACTACATGGGTGAAGCCTGGGATAGATCCTTCCCGTGGGTGCCCAAGTTGGACTGGCCACTGAACAGAGCAGCAAGCTGCCAAGGAGGTCCTGACAGGAGAGCAGCAGCTTGGAGACCTCTCCCAAATGACTTCTGAGCTGGAGGTTTAAAAACTTCCAGCTAGGTACCCTCAGATAGCAGAGGACAGCACACATACACTGCACACCCTCATCATCCCTTCAGAACCTGGCAAACAGGAGAGTACCAGGCATCCACAAAGACTCAAGCTAGCTCCTACAAAACACCCTGAGTTCTCTCTAACTTGTCCAGGGTTGAGGGAAGGGATAGCCAGAAAGCACCAAAATAGGAACTGCACAGGACTAGGCTTTGTGCAAAGCTCATGACATGTTCTAAATGGTACCTCTTGCACTGCCACAGGTCCAGTCACATCATTTAACTGCCTGAATGTGGCAATAAGACTGTAGCAGATATCAGGAGGAAAGACGGAATGAGGTGGAAGATGGACAAGGGAAGTCAGGCAGAAATGTCTAAGCACCATGTCAGCTCCTGCCACCAGCCAGCAAACAGCACTGGAGGAAAGGTATGGGCTGGGGCCACAGAGTCTGTCCCACCCTGTGGGGCTTCTTGGGAGCTGATGGACATGGATCTCTGCAGGTTCACAAAACCTGCGTGGCCTGGGGGAATTGCAAGCCAAAACTGGCAGATGTGGCCATAGAGACCAGCCTAGCCTCCAGGAGAGAAAAGGAAAGCTGCAGAGCTGCCTCTGGAGCCCATCTGTTGGCATCTCTGTGCCTACAAAAGCTGGCTTTGAATTTGGCCCTTGCCTACAGAGTGCCCAAGATGAGCAGGATGAATTTTCTCTCTGGATATGTCTTCCTACTGGTGACAGAGGCAAAAACTGGCCTGGACTAGCCTCATCATTCCCAGGTGTCCACAGTTTGGTGACATGAATTATCACCTTTGTATGTGGCAGTGATGAATTATTTCCATCAGCTCAGCCCTACCCAGGGACCCAGCAGCTGGTTCAGGCTGTGCTGAATTTGTTCTTCCCACCACATTTGGTTCCCAGTCCTGGACCACCAAAGTGTCAGTCTGGGAGTCCCAGCAGAGGTGCTGCCCAGAGGGAGCAAACAGTGCCATTTCTCATCTTTGAGGGCTGTTATTCTCTCAGACAAGGTCACCAAGAGTGCTTTTCACCCCTCTGGAGGGTGAAACACTCAGAGGAGGTTCAGCTCAACTCAGGAGCTCATACTGCAGGAAATCGCTGTTTGAAGAACTCTACTGATGTCAATTTCTGCTGAGTCTAAATCTCAGCCAGGACTAGACTGGACTCCCAAACTGCACTTCCCAGTGCTAGGACACACTGGAACACACTGCAAGTAAAACCCTCTGTACAAACTACTTGGAAATCATCTTCCTAATGATTTTTTTTCTGACTTGATACTTTTCCTTGTAGCTCCTTTTAGCTGCATGAGAGTCCCTTGCTGTCCTCATGCCTTTCTTCCTGACCTGCCCACACATACACACAAAGTGCCAAAACTACAGCACAAGCCCAAAACCAGCAAAAACAGGATTAGCAACATCCTCTCAGAGGCAAGAAAGTGTTAAACTCTGTTCTCAGGCCTGACTGGATCAAGTTGCTAATTGCTAACAGCTGGCTGCAGGGGAATAAAATCCTCTTACAATCATTGGGAGAGTGGAAAAAAAAATTCTACTAGTTGAATAACTCACCAAGAAAAGCAAAAGAGGCACTTCTCCCCAATAAACCCAGCTCATCCCATGCCCACAGAGCCAATCCCTCCCTCCACAGAGACCAAGCTTGCTGTGTTCTAGCCCTGTCTGTAGCACAAAGGCTCAGTGGGGGCAGGAGGGAGCTGTTCTGCAGTGATGTGCATGAAGAAGGTGGGGCTTGGAGCTCCTCCAGGTACTGTTCTCCCTCCAGAGATCCATTATGGAGGTCTGGCATGTTTGCAAGCCTCTCTAGATCCCAACTGAAACAGGCATTTGTTTTAACTGGTTCCTTCACAGATCATTACCTTAGAGTGGGACCTTAGGGTTTGCTGAAGGAATCCCATTCCAGATGCCAAGAAACTCTACAGCCATGGTCAAGACTCAGCTCTGTGTGTGACACTGTGCATGTAACATGAGGATCTATCCTAAATCAAAGCATCCCCTGAAGAGCTTCAGGAACAATCAGGAGGATGTGGCACTTACTGCCATGGTCTAGTTGACATGGTGATGTTACAAGTTAGGTTGGACTTGATGATCTCAGAGGTCTTTTCCAACCTGATTGATTCTGTGACTGGATGGCATCTCCGAGGAATCCAAGGAGGAAACAGCAAAGCTAATAATTGGGGCAATATCTGATGCCTGAAGAACTAAGAGGCAGGGAAGTGTGATTTCCATTTTTCTGGCTCCAAAACGATGGTAGAACATTTCTCTTTGCCTCAAAATTAATCTGAGATGCCCCAACCCCAGCAGTGTTCCTCTGGAGCACACACAGCTCACACAGCTCCAGCTGGACCAACCAGAATTTGCTGATGAAAACACTTTGCAGAAAGAATTCTGATCACTTTTTAAACATTCTACTTAGCTTAAAATTCAAACACTTCTTGCTGCTAGTAGGAACCAGTTTTAAGAGGGTTTTTAAGCCCCAGCTCTCACCTCCCTATACACTCCTACTTCCCATTAACACAGATGCTGCCTTCATAACTCAGCCAGCACCATGCTAAGACTGCATGGAGACAACAACCTCAAGGAAAGGCAACATCTAACGAAACCAACTGCCACAAGACTGGAAAAGCAGAGCAGGGCTGCTGGCTGGAGAAGATGGGCACCCACTGCAGCAGAGCTGCTGGAGGTGAAGGACAGGACCAGTATCAGGACAACCATTCTGCTTGTGCAGAGGCCTGCAAGAAGGCAACAAACTCAAAGAGTGTGGTCTCTCTCCCGATTCAATCAACCAGGCAGTATGGGGAGAGGTCTCTGTCTGTGACACACATGGGTGACACCT